GCCCCTCTTCGGGCTCCCTGCTCAATGGGAAGCCTGCTTCTCCCCCTCCCACTCCCCCTGCTTGTGTTCCCTCTCTCACTGTGTCTCTCTCTGTCAAATAAATAAAGAAAATCTTTAAAAAAAACCCCAAAACTTAGGTAGATATTTCTTCTATGGCCAACGGGCATATGAGAAAAGGGAAATGCAAATCAAAACTGCAGTGAGATATTATCACACACCTGTTGGAATGGCTATCATAAAAAAAAAAAAAAAGAAAAGAAAAAAAAGACTGGGCACCTGGGTGGCTTCGTCAGTTAAACATCCGCCTTCAGCTCAGGTCACGATCCCAGGATCCTGGAATCGAGCTCCATGCTGGGCTCCAGGGAGCCTGCAACTCCTTCTCCCTGTGTCATTCCCCCCGCTTGTGCTCTTTGGCTCTCTCTATCTCTCTGCCAAATAAATAAATAAAAATCTTTAATTAAAAAAAAAGACAAGTGTTGGTGAGGGTGTTGAGAAATTGGAACCCTTGCACCCCATTGCAGAGAATGCAAACTGGCCCGGCCACTCTGAAAACAGTATGGAGGTTCCTCAAAAAATTAAACATACAACTACACTAAGATCCAGCAATCCCACTTCCGGGCATTTCTCCAGAAGAACTGAAATCAAGATCTCGAGGAGATATTAGCACACCTGTGTTCATTGCAACACTATTCACAGTAGCTGAGATATGGAAACAACCTAAACGTCCACTGAAAGACGAATGGTTAAGGAAAATGTAGCACATACATATAATGGAACACTATTAAGAGGACAGATTTCATATGCAGTGTTAATAAAGTAAAAAAAGATAAAAGAAAATGAAAAATGTTATCACAGTCAAAACCAAAACAAACACCACACTGAGATGCCACTTCACATACAGTAGACTGGCTGAAATATTAAAAAGACTTTGCAAACTAAGTGTTGTTGGGGATGGGGGGGAACTGGGAACTCTCATACATCGCTAGTGAGAAAGTACAATTAAAAGTACTTTGGAAAACAGTGTAGCCTGTTTTTCAAAAAATTAAATGTGTGCCTCCTTAGTGATCCCCTCACTGCACTCCTGAGTGGAACTCTACCCAAGAGAAATGAAAGCACATGCCCGCTTATAAGACTCCTGCCCAAAAGTTCCTGGCAGGTGTACTTGTAATCGCCCAGAGTTGGAAACAACATAAATGTCCATAAATGAGCGAATGAATAAAAAAAACTTTCTGCATCCTTCCAATGTAACAAACTAAGGGATAAAAAAGAAAAAAACACTTTGGGGGCGCCTGGGTGGCTCAGTTGTTAAGTGCCTGCCCTGTCCCAGGGTCCTGGGACCAAGCCCCGCATCCGGCTCCCCGCTCAGCGGGAAGCCTGCTTCTCCCTTTCCCACTTCCCCTGCTTGTGTTCCCTCTTTCGCTATCTCTCTTGGTCTCTTAAATAAATAAAATCTTAAAAAAAAAAAAAGAAAGAAGAAAAACTGTGGATACTTGCAATAACATGGAGCAATGCGTTAATTAAGAAAAATGACGCTGAGTAAAGAAGTCAACCTCAGCCCCAAGTTGTATCGTATGATTCCACTTCTCAAAATTCTAAAAAATGCACACTAATCTATAACAACAAAACAAATATAAGGTTTCATGGGAACATGGGGAAGGAGGATCAGAGGGGTGGGAATGAAGAGAATAAAGAGGACATGAGATTTTTGAGAGGAAGGGACATATATCTTCACCTAGGAATGACATCTCTGCATGCCCGTAGCAAAACTTATTAAATTGTATACTTTCAATATGTTGAATTACTTATATGTCAACTATAATTCAATAAAGTGGTTAAAAATTATATATCCATATATGAAATATTATTTCAAGTACAAATTTTAAAAAATATACAACTGGATAGAGGGACTTTTTCTTCCGCATTTCTTCCTGCACAGTCCACCAGAGGGCGGCAGAGCTGCTCTACACCTGGGCGCCTTCCTCAGCACCCACAGCCCAGCAGGGTCTGACCCTCCCCAGCCTCACCCAGTCACCGTCCTCCTGGCTCTCCAGGCTCCCCACACTGGACCCCGTCAGCCCCTCCGGCCAGCCAGGCATCTGCCCGCTGAGACTGGTCCCTCTATGGGCAGCTAGTCCCTCCATACCCTCTGCCCTTGAGGGGCGAAGGTCCACTCACACTTCCGGTCTCAGCCCCAGGTCACTTTCTCAGGAGTGCTCCATGGGTACCCCCATCAGCTAAGACCCCCTCACATGCTCCAGACCCACCAGACACTTTCCCTTCCTGGCCCTTCTCTTGATTCTAATTGACTCCTCAGTGCCATGATTTCCTGACTGCCCGTGGCCCTGTTCCAAGGGAAACCCCACGAGTCCAGGGCCCACACTGTCCTGTTCTCTGTGGAGCTCCCAGGACCCAGCCCAGGGCCTGACACGTCACAGAAGCCCTGTAAATACTCCTTGAAGGCATGAGGGAAACCGCACAATGGAAGTCACCCCCGTTCACCTGGGGTCGGAGCCTCTTCCCCGCAGACCCAGCCCGCTGGCATCAGCAAGGGGGGGCCAGCACGTGCCCGAGGCTGTCCCTGTAAAGCTGGCAGGGCTTTCCCCCTCCTAGATTCAGGAGGGACGACAGGGGCCTCCTACAGTTAGAGGTCAGACCCCCATTCATTCCCAGAACACGGACACGCCCCTCCCATCTCTGTCTGTGACTGACTTCTCTCCCCAGAGGGCCTGGGTGTGCAGCCTGTGTCCTTCCTCTTCTCTCAGAGATCTGACCTGCCACAAATTCTGGATCACCACCCCAGGTGCAGTTACTACCAGGGGAGTTCAGAGCCCTACACTGACCTCCAAACACGTCCAGAGGCAAGTCCTCATCCTGAGGGCCCCTGGTCTGTGGGGACACCTGCTAGGTCTCCCTGAAAATTTCTCAGTAGCCCAAGGAATCCTGGGGAACGAGGGGAATGTCCCGGGTATGCAGGACAGAAGAACCCAGGATGTGCCTGTGTTTCCCCGGGACTGAGGGTCTCCTCCCCTTTCACAGAGGCAGCCCTGGGATCCCTCAGCTGAGTCTCCGGGTGGAGCCGCCCCAGCTCTGATTCCTGTGGGGAGACCTAGAGCAGAGCAGAGACAGGGACACAGATGACTTGGAAGGAATCTCCCCAGTGCTGTGATGGGGAGACAGAGCATGGTGGTGTTCAGCCGCCCAGGCTGGTGCCTTTTCCCCAAAGTCTCAAAAGAACCCTACAAGGTCATTCCTTGAAATCTTGAGGACAGAGAGCTCCTGCTGAGGGAGCATATCTCTCTGGGTTGACAATTCTCCTGACACAGGATCAGGAATCTTCTGAATACTGCCTGTCCTCTCCCTGGGCTCACCCTGCCCTGGGATGGAGTCAGGCAGACCAGGACCCAGGCTGACCAGTCCCTCACCTCTGCCCAGGCTCCCGGCCCACACACATCCTTGGGAGCCTGGTCAGCTCACACTTCCCTGGTGAAGCCCCCAGCATCGCCTCCAGGGGTCGACATAGGAACATGCAGACAACACAGGAAATTAAACCCTGAAGCTGGCTTTGGCTAAGGAGGTGGAGAAGGAGCCTGGTTTCCATCCCTTTCTGCAACAGACCCTTCTGGATCCCTCCCACGTGCCAGTTCTGTCCTGCCCGCTCCTTCTAGAGCCCTAGGAGCACCCTGATCTGACAAGGGTTCCTGCGGAGCCGTTGCTCATTGCCTTGCACCACCCATGGGGGAGGCAGGGTGACCACGGGAAAGTCCCTCAGGCAGAGCACACAGGCTGCCCAGGACGCTCAGGGGCACATGGACAGTCTCTGGGCCACAGTTCAGCCAACAGACACGGAGAAGGACGGTCTCCTCAAAACTTACCCTTTTGAGGACCAGGCAGCCCCAGCCACCTGACCTCCCACCACCTCCTCTCTTCCCGGGACATGCAGGAAACCCCCATTGCACCTGGGAACTGAGCTCTTGAGACACCTGGTCCTGGGTTTCTCTCCCTGGAAGCAGAGGCCCGGCTGGGGACACCCAGGGATGGGCTGTGGGTCCCTCACGCATCATGACCCAGCCTGCCCCTTTCTCACCCCCAGAGTCATCTCTGGGATCTTGCTGCCAGGAGTCAATCCAACCTCCTCAGAGCTGTGAGAACACTGGGGAGCACGGTGCCTAGCTGGGATTCTCTGTTACAAACGGAAATAATCCCCTGGATTTGGGGACCTGGGGTTCTGTGTGTGGTGCCCACAGACTCAAGGCCAGGACTCAGCAGAGGAGTAGGGAGAAGGGCCATCCTCTAAGGGAACCGGGTCCCCCTCAGCCTGGCTATTCAGAGTGTGCTCCCCGGGCCAGGACAATCAGCATCACCTGGGAGCTTGTTAGAGGCAGACTCTGGGGTCCACACCACACCTGCTGAGTCAGAATCTGCATTTTCACAGCATCTGCAGACCCTCTGTGGGCTCAGGAGAGGGAGAGGCGGCCCCACCTCACATCATGGGGTCTCAGCCTGGCTGGGCATCTGCGGAAGCAGCATTTCTAAGTGTCACCTGGGCATTCTCAGTCTTGATAAAGTTCCACAGGTGAATCCAGCGCACAGTGGGGGTGACATCCCTGTGACAAGGGTTCCTGAGGCAGCCCCCAGGCTCCTGAAGGGAAAGCCACACGGGGAGGAGAGAGGGCTGTGGGGGCGCTGACCCTGCACCCTGACTCCGAGCTGTGGGGGTCACCGGACCCCAACGCCACAGGCTTGTGTTTGTCCAAACAAGGGCGTGTGCGCGCTCTCGCATATGGTGGGAACCACAGCTGAAGACGGAGAGGCCTCAGCAGTTCCCAGGGAACCGCAATGAAGACCGAAATGAAAGGGGAGGAAGGGGACAAGGAAGTCAGGAGGGAGGGGAGGGCAGGGGAGGAGAGAGGAGAGGAGGGGAGGGGAGGGGCGGGGCCCTGGCAGAGACCCCGCCCCCCGGCCCACGTGACCCCGCCCAGCGCTCCTGCCCCCAAAGGCCGCTCAGCTCAGAGGGAGGAAGGACGGCAGAGCTGACAGGACAGGACGGCAGTGCTCCTGAGCGTTTCTGGAGCAGAAGCTCTTCCCCCAGAGGGAGGGACGCACCGGGCAGCAGGCACCATGGAGCCCCCGTCGGCCCCTCCCCGAGGAGGACGCGTCCCCTGGCAGGAGGTCCTGCTGGCAGGTGAGAGGGATGATCCCCTCCGAGGGGGCGGGAGGATGGGAGAGAGAGGCTGGCTGGGGTCTCCCGGGGAGGACAGGGCTGTGAGAGGGGACAGGGGAGCAGGGCAGGACGGGGGAGCCGGCTCAGCAACGGGAAAATCTCATGATCTGGAAGTGGGGAGCCAAGGGCTGTTTCCCAAGTTACTCATCACTGAGGACTGAATTCTGAAAACTGCTAACAACAGCCAGGGACCCTAAACCCTGCCCTTTCCCACCAACCTGAGATCTTGACAGACAAACGCCAGACTTGGAGAGCCCTGGGGACACGTTCATTCAGCCCCGGGTATTTGCAGCCTGCCCCACCCCTGGGGTACAGCACAGATCAGAGGAGTCCCTGCCCTCCCCGAGCTCACTTCTATGGGGAGGAAGACAGACACGCAGAGACGTCCAGAATGTGATGTCAGGTCCTGACAAGCACCAGGAAGGGAACAGAGCAGGGAAAGGTCAGAACGTGAAGACAAAGGGTCTTTAGGGGAGGCGGTCAGGGCAGACCTCTCCCCAGGACCCTCTGAGTGGGAGCAGGTATCTGAGGGCAGGGAGGGAGTGAGAGACAGACATGTGAGGAAGAGGGTTGGAAACAGAGAAAGTAAGTCCAGAGGCGCTGAAGTAGTGTGGTCATGCCCCTGACCTTGACCAGCAGGAGACACACACTCACACACACACCCAGAGGCTGGGGGATTAGGATCTGCCCTCTCTCCAAAACCCCAGCTTTCCCTCCCAACACCTAGGTCCAAACACTGATCTGTCTCCTCCCTTCCCTCCTAGTCTCACTCTTAACCTTCTGGAACCCGCCCACCACTGCCCAAGTCACTGTGGAATCGGTGCCGCCCAGTGTTGCTGAAGGGAAGGATGTTCTTCTGATCGTCCACAATCTGCCTGGGGATCCAGTAGGCTATGGCTGGTTCCGAGGGGAAACTGTAGAGCCCAGCAGTCAAATTGTATCATATGCAGTAGACACAAATGTAACTACCCCAGGGCCTGCACACAGCGGCAGAGAGACAATATACCCCAATGGATCCCTGCTGTTCCAGAACATCACCCTGAATGACACAGGATACTACACCATACAAATCACAAAGAGAAATGTTCAAGTTGATCAAGGAACAGGACAGCTGCGCGTATTCCGTGAGTAATTCCTCTCTCGCCTCTGGTGTTGGGTGGGGTGAATTCTACTTCACATAACAGGAGTCACAGGCCTGGATTGTACCTCCATCTCCCTCTGCATTATGTCCCGTGTGGGGTTCGAGCATTTAGTGCAGGACACACACAGTGGAGACAAACTTCCTAAGATCCGAATTCCCTTCCTGGATTCCAGCCCCAGCACATTCGCTGCAAAGAGAAGGACCAGTCTGATGGGAATAACTCAGCAGAGGGAGACAGATTCAGTCCAACCCCTTGGGCTCCTTCCCATGACCATGACTCTGAGAAAGACCCTGCGGGGCTCAGTCAGGGCCAGACCTGAGGGACCCATGGGATCCTCACAGAGAAGCTCAGCCCAGAAAGCCCCTGCCCAGATCCCTGACTCAGGGCTCCTGATCGTGACGCTGGGGAGTCTGTGCCAGATGTGGGTTTTGGCTTCCTGGCAGGAGGGACAGGGAGCAATGATTTCCTGGCTGCCTGAGTGGTGAGGTTCCTGAACTGGTCACCAGGCTCGGCACCAAGAGCCACATCTGGGGAGGGGCAGAGCCTGGTCCTTCACCTGAGACTTGCGGTGGAAAGCAGAGATAGGCAAGGTCCCTGGGCCACTGTCTGACTGCCCTGGGGGATAGGAGACCCCAGAGGAAGGTCAGCACCCCCAGGGAGGAACAGAGGAGAGAAGATGCTCCTGGCAGCAACTCCCACACCAGGGATCAGGCCTAGGGAGCCGTCTCTCATGGAGGCAAGTGACAGTTTATCTGGGCAGCTCCTCTATACCAAGCCTTAGGTCAAGTAATTGTGAAAGATTTAAGGTTAATTACAGGCAACACAGCAAGCCTGAGACCATTTACTTGATTTTATTGAGGGGAAACAGAGGCACAGGGCGACGCAGACATTGAATCAGAGTCACACAGGCAGATCACAATCCTACAAGGTCTGTCTGCAGGTACAGGCCTGTCTCCTCCACCCAGGGGGCCTTATCAGGCATCTATGGACCCTGAGACCAGCTGTTGGATCAGACCTTTCTTCTTAGGGATCCACAGCTCAAGGTAGATGTTCTGGTCTGGGAGGTGAGAGCAAATGGACAATTAATGTTTTTACTCAAGAACTAAATTCATCAACGACCAGAGTCAGTTGGGGAATGCCCAGGCCTCCCCTCAGGTGGCCAATCCACGGCTCCTGCATCGGACTTGGAATCACTTATTGTTTCCTGATGTGGTGATGGCATCCCACTGGAGTGTAAGGGAAAGGACTCTGCCCTCTCCTCCCGACTGCATACCCCTAACCGGCACAGGGCCCAACAACTCAATTGCTCTTTCATGAAGGAGGGAAGGAATGAATGAATGATTCCCAATCTCTTCAGAGTCTGGTCCCTGGATGCAAAATTCTAGGAGGTTCTAGCCACACCTGTTCCCTGTCCCTCCAGGGGCTGAGACCCATGTTCTATCCCTCTGACCACCAGCCCCTCAGGCCACTGCCAGAGAGAAAACTGGTGGCCAGTGCACACACATCTGAGGAGAGCCAGTGGAGTGAGGTCGGGGAGCAATCGCCCGATGTACAAATGGATCCCATGACTGCTAGAAACATCGTGTACTAGTTCAGAAGAAAACTTCTCAACGTCCTTCTGACCATCAGGGATTCAAGGAGATGGCTGTTGAACTCCCATGGAAAGGGTGCCGGCAGAAGAAGAAAGACTTCCCAGAAATTAAAAAAACAAATAAACACACAAAAAATTGAGTGTAATTGCTGAATAACTGGAATGTCACTGCTGAAAAACCTACCAAATGACCTGGAAGCTACAACTGAGGAAATCAAACATAAATCAGGGAGCAGAGATGGGATGTGTGAGAGAGAAGTGCTTGGGGAGGGCAGGGATGGTGAGCAGAAGTCCTGCTGGGGTCAGAGCATCCTGAAAACACCTGGGCCTGAGGGAGGACGGCTCCCTTGAACCAGAGAACCAGACTCACGGCTCTGACCTCAGACTGCAGATGGCCGTGATGTGTAGCAGGTTTCCTAAATGCACCAGAGGAAAGGGGGTCACCGGTAGACACTCTTCCTGTAGCTGATGTGGAGATAGTGAGGACAACGTGCTCGGCCTCCTATGGCGTCGCCCCAAACCGGCCCAGTTCTCTCCTCCCACAGTCCATTAGCCTCAGCAAGCATACAGCTAAGCTCGAGATGAATGAAGGAATGGGGGTGGGGGTGGGGGGACATGCTCCTCTTCCAGTGGGAAGAACTGCAAGGTCGCAGACAAAGGGTATGGGTGTATAATTCCACGACAGGGAGGGCAGGGACAGTTAAGAAGGGTGATCCAGTCCTTCAGAGTCATGGACTTACAGTCATTTCCCGCAGTGCCAACAGGGAGAGTGGGGGCATCTTGTTCTGCACGTCCTGCCTAAGCTGCCCACTATGTGTGGAACCATCCCCTCCCCATGACTTGGGCCCTGGGGCTGCTTCTGGCTCACCAGTCCATCTCCCCACAGTCCTCCAATGTGAGAGTCCTCGCCTCCCATCCTCATCCCTCATCCCCCATTCCATGACATTCTCTTGCCCTCAGCTAAAGAGGATGGCTTTTCCATAGGCCTTTGACCCAGGCAACCCCAGACATCCAAAACTTCCCCTAACTCTGTCATATGAGCCCAGGGAGCAGCTGGGAATGAGGACTCCAAGGACACGCACATCCTCCGTCCCCTACCTCCTTGCATTGGCTTCTCAGTCACTTGGGCCCGAGTTCCCTTCAAATCAAAAGCCTCATCACGAAGTACCTCACACTCTCGGCCAGGCACAGGACATTCCCACGCAACACACATACCCCAAGAGAGGAGACCCTCCAGACTGACCATGTCAGGCCTGACCAGAGGGTGCACATCCAGGGGTATTTCCTCACCTGGCTCACTCCCCTCGGGCACCCCAGGAGAATCTGAGACTCTGTGTGGAATATTCTCTCCCTCCCCTGGGGTTCCATGCACTGGGACACCTCTCTGAGGAAAGTATCTTCAAATCCTCCCCCACTCAGCTTAGCAGTTCACTGCTAAGTTTTGCATCTGTATCTGTTTATCTTGACAGACCCATGAGTTCTCTGCATCAGAGAATAGCCCTGAGACTCAGAGACAGAGGAAGGGATCCAAAGGCTAAGGGAGACTGGAACGTGGCGTGGACTTCGCACTTAAGACCTGCTCATCCAGGGGCGCCTGGGTGGCTCAGTTGGTTAAGCGACTGCCTTCGGCTCAGGTCATGATCCTGGAGTCCTGGGATCGAGTCCGCATCGGGCTACCTACTCCGCAGGGAGTCTGCTTCTCCCTCTCCCGCTCCCCCCTCTTGTGCTCTTTCTCTCTCTCACTCTCTCTCTCAAATAAACAAATAAAATCTTAAAAAAAAAAAAAAAAAAAAAAGACCTGCTCATCCACCCTGGCTGGGAGAGTTCAGAGGACACACCTTAGTCTTTCATGACTGTGAGGTATGAGTTCACAGCACACCTGAACAGCTCTGTGATTGCTCTTCTCTGTAGGTCAGAAATTACAATGGAAGCTGCTGCCACTGAACTGGGAAACCTAAATGCAATGTCACCATAATGGACAGCAGACCCAAAGCAGCAATCAGAATGGTCAGATTCACGGGGAACAATGACAATGACGTTGGCTAGGTGATCATGATGTTCCTAGAAATGAGATAGATGGGAAGCTACTAAATTCTTACTTGGTCTGTTTAAGGAGAGTTCTAGGTCAAGTGAACAAAAGTCTATCTTGAATCATAGCAACTGAGTTTTATGGCCCTCAGTCAATTCCCAGACTTGAGCCAGTTTAAAGAGCCAGAACTCCTTGAATAAAGGAGGGGCCAGGTCCCCTTGAGGAAGGGCCCCAGTATGCTGCTAAAAATGTATACTGTTAACCTTTCTCCCAGTCTTCCCCAGAGGGACCTGTGGCCTTTTACCAAGTTGATGGTCACTGGAGAAAAGCAAATAGCTCTTTGAGGCACTGAAAGACATGAGCTCTAAACTGAGGACTCAAATGTCACAGTGGCCCACCAGTCAGAGGAGGGGCTTATGGAGCTCAGGTGGTCCATGGAGTCTGAGCTCAGGTCCATCTCACAGTGGGCCTGGGCAGGGGGCGGGGGGAGGCTGAACCAATCCTGTGGTTATTTCCCACAGTCATACTCAACAGCTAGCAGAATCCCCACATTGGTTCCCACTCTGTGGAGTAAGGGCTATTATGGTGGGAAAGGCCAAGTGGAAAGCACTAGAACTACTTAGGAAAATGGTAAACTGAAAGCAATACCACATTCCCCGAGGGACTGCAGAGATTAGTGCAGCATCACGGACTTGAAGGACACACGGGTCTTCGAGAGTGACAACGGATTATCCTAAGCTTAACCAGGTGGTAACTCCAGTTGCTGCTGCTATGTGTTGTACCAGACGTGGTTTCCTTGCTTGAGCAAATTACCACCTCCCATGGTGCCTGGTGTGAAGCTAACCATCTGGCAAATACTTCTTCCTCCCTACCTGTTAGTAAAGACCCACTGGAGTCAGTTTGCTTTCAGCTGGCAGGGCCAGAAATGCATTTTCACCGTCCTACTCCAGGGGCACATCAACTCCCCAGCCCTGTGTCATACTTTAGTTCACAGGGATCTTGATTGCCTTCCCTCTCACAAGATCATCACCCCTGCCTTTCGCACGGATGACATTATGCTGATTGGACCCAGTGAGCAAGAACTTAGCAGCGACTCTAGACTTCTGGGTAAGACATTTGTGTGCAGAACATGGGAAATAAATCAAACAAAAATTCAGGGGCCTTTTACCTCAGTGAAATTTCTAGGGGTCCGGGGGGGAGGGACCTATCAATCTACCTCTTCTATTTTTTGTTAAAGATTTTATTTATTTATTTATTTTAAATTTTATTGTTACGTTAGTCACCAGATTTTATTTATTTATTTGAGAGAGAGAATGGGAGAGAGAGCATGAGCAGGGGGAGGGGCAGAGAGAGAGGGAGAAGCAGGCTCCCCGCTGAGCAGGGAGCCCGATGTGGGACTCGATCCTCATGACCTGAGCTGAAGGCAGTTGCTTAACCATCTGAGCCACCCAGGCGCCCCCAATCTACCTCTGATAAACTGAAGGATCAGTTGCTGCACCCTGCCCTTCGTACCACCCCAAAACAAACTGCAACACCGAGTGAGCCTCTTTGGATTTCGAGGTAACATGTTCCCCATTTAGGGGTGCTACTCTGGCTCATTTACCAAGTGACCCAAAAAGCTGCTAGTTTTGAGTGCTGCCAGAATAAGAGAAGGCTCTGCCGCAGGTCCCCCTCTGTGTGAACTGCTCTGCCATTTGGGCCACGGAGCCCAGCAGGTCCAGCGGTGCTGGAGCGGCCAGGGTTGGTGTCTGGACCCCTTGGCAAGCCCACAGAAGTGAATCACAGTGCAGGCCCCTTAGGCTTGTGAAGCAAAATCTTGCTATCCTCTCGCTAACTGCTCTCCTTTCGACAAACAGCTTTTGGCCTGCCACCGGACCTTAGTACAGACTAAATGCTTAACCACGGGCCACCCAGTTACTACGTGACCGAAGTGGTCTATGCACTGGGGAATAGGAAATATACCCAGAGCCTCTGGAGGTTACTGGACAGAGGCTCTGCATTGACACTAATTCCATCGTGGACTGGGTGACACACCAGGCCATAAAGCCAGGCATACACAGCGGCGATCCCTCATCAAGTGCAAGTGGGAAATGAGATGATCAAGCTTGGCCAGCCTTGAAGGCACGCGTGGCACGTGAAGAAATGGCCCGGGTGCCCACACTCCCCACTCCTGCGACACTGCCTTCTCTCTCCCAGCCACACCTGTGGCCTCACGGCGAGTCGTCTATGATCAGTTGATGGAGGGAGAGAAACCTCGGGCCTGGTTTACAGATGGTTCTGCGTGCCAGGCAGATAGCACTCGACGTGGACAGCTGCAGCACGACAGCCCCTTTCTGGAACATTCCTAATGGGCAGGGGGGAAGGGAAATCCTCTCGATGGGCAGAGCTTCAGGCAGTGCACCCGGTTGTTCATTGTGCTTGGAAGGAGAAATGGCCTGATATGTGGTTGTATACCGACTGTGGCCAATGATCTGGCTACATGGCCAGGGACTTGGAAGGAACATGGTTGGAAAACTGGTGACAAGGAGGTCTGGGAAAAAGGTATGTGGATAGACCTTTTTGAACACTCACCATGCATGTTAGCATGGGAGGGTTTTAATACTTAAGTGGATCCGTGGCCTGTTCCGTGGTTATCGCTCAGCCTCTTGCCCTAGCCAACCTGTCATTGCCCGGGGGCTCATGAGCAAAGTGGCCACGGTGGCGGGGCAGGTAGAGTTTATGCACAGGTTCGGCAACATGAACTTCTGCTCACCAAGGCCAACCTAGCTATGGCCACCACTGAGTGCTCCATCTGCCAGCTCAGAGACCAACGCTGGGCCCCCGATATGGCCCCATTCCCCAGGGTGACCAGACCGCTGCCTGCTGGCAGGTTGATGACATTGGACCATTTCCATCATGGAAGGAGCACTGTTTTGTTCTTACTGGATAGGCACTCACTCTGGATACGGATTTGCCTTCCCTACACACAAAGCTCCTGACAAAACGACCACCCACGGATTCATAGAATGCCTTATCGACTGTCACAGTGTCCCACACAGCACTGCTTCCGATCAAGGGACTCACTTCAGAGCAAATGAAGTGCAGCAATGTGTGTGCTCACGCATCATACGATCCGGAAGCAGCTGTCTTGAGAGAAAAGTGGGATTGGCCCTTTGGACACTCAGGGACAGCACCAGCTAGGGTTGGGGGGAGGAACTCCAGGAGGCTCTGCATGCTCTGGGTCTGTGTCCAGTCTGTGCTGTTTCTCCCACAGCCAGGATTCTCACATCGAGGAATCGAGGGGTGGAAATGGGAATGACACCACTCTCTATACCTCTCACGATCCACTAGCAAAATGTCTGTTTCCCGTCCCTGTGACATTATGCGCTGCTGACCTAGAAGTGTTAGTTCCAAAGGGAGGAATATTTCTACCAGGAGGTACGGTAATGATTCCATTGACGCATCACTCCAGGGCGTCCAGAAAGTGCAGCACCTGGACGAACGCCGATCTCAGCTTCACCTCTCTTCTGTCACAAATGACAGCTAGAGGGCCCAGAGATCGTGAGGGGCCAGCGACCACAGGAGCAGCTGCCTGGAGCAGAAGCAGGTGGGGCCACCGGCCGAGGCCAGCCACAGAGGCCCAGAGAGAAGGTGCAGGACAGAACCCCAGGGACGGGGAGTGGGGAGAGGAGAAACCCAGGCCTCAATGTGGGGGTCCTCCTAGGTGCCGGGGAGACCGTGAGTGTGAAGCCGTCTCAGCATTGTGAGGCCCAGGAGGCCCAGGTCCTGATGAACGGGAAGGAAGCAGCTCCCACCTCGCCTGGCCCAGGGACACAGAGAGGTGTGTGGTGCTGTGTGTTCCCAGGGCCAAGAACCCTGGGCTGATGCCAAGTCCCGGGAGTAAGAAGGAAAGTTGACTTGTCCATCTTCCTCCTTCTGCCCCCCTGACACAGACCCTCCCCTCCTGACACGCCCAGGTCCCGGCTTCTCCTTCTTCTCCCCACAGACCCACCACCCAGCATTCCAGCCACACACACTGCCGCCCAGGGACACACACACTATAACTTACCAGAGACAAACACATCAATATACATTCCTGGAAATCTGAGCTTGGTGACAGTTTACTGAGGGAAGAGACAGGGACAATGTACTTACAGCAGCAGAGATTGGGACTCATGAAGCCGGAATATGATGGAGTATTAACATGAGAATGCGATCCATGTGAAATGTCTACAGATTGATGTTGAATAAACGATGCAGAGGGGCTGGGCACCCTGACTCGGCCTTCTACACTTCCCTCCTTGTCCACCAGAGGGCGGCAGAGCTGCTCTACACCTGGGCGCCTTCCTCAGCACCCACAGCCCAGCAGGGTCTGACCCTCCCCAGCCTCACCCAGTCACCGTCCTCCTGGCTCTCCAGGCTCCCCACACTGGGCCCCATCAGCCCCTCCGGCCAGCCAGGCGTCTGCCCGCTGAGACTGGTCGCTCTATGGGCAGCTCGTCCCTCCACACCTCTGTCCTTAGAGGGCGAAAGTCTATTCACGCTTCAGGTCTCAGTGATAAGGTCACTTTCTCAAGAGTGTTCCATGTGACCCCCCATCAGCTAAGACCCCCTCACATGCTCCAGACCCACCAGACACTTTCCCTTCCTGGCCCTTCTCTAGGGCCGATTCTAATTGACTCCTCAGTGCCATGATTTCCTGACTGCCCGTGGCCCTGTTTCAAGGGAAACCCCGCGAGTCCAGGGCCCACATCTGTCCTGTTCTCTGTGGAGCTCCCAGGACCCAGCCCAGGGCCTGACACGTCACAGAAGCCCAGTAAATACTCGTTAAATGCATGAGGGAAACCACACAATGGAAGTCACCCCCGTGTCACCTGGGGTCGGTGACACGAGCCTCTTCCCCGCAGACCCAGGCCCCTGGCATCAGCAAGGGGGGGCCAGCACGTGCCCGAGGCTGTCCCTGTAAGACTGTCAGGGCTTTCCCCCTCCTAGATGCAGGAGGGACGACAGGGGCCTCCTACAGTTAGAGGTCAGACCCCCATTCACTCCCAGAACACGGACACCCCCCTCCCATCTCTGTCTGTGACTGACTTCTCTCCCCAGAGGGCCTGGGTGGGCAGCCTGTGTCCTTCCTCTTCTCTCAGAGATCTGACCTGCCACAAACTCTGGATCACCACCCCAGGTGCAGTTACTACCAGGGGAGTTCAAAGCCCTACTTTGACCTCAAAAGACGTCAGGAGGTGACTCTTCATCTTGAGGGTCCCTGGTCTGTGGGGACACCTGCTATGTCTCCCTGAAGGTTTCTCAGCAGCCCAAGGAGTCCTGGGGAACAAGGGGGAAAGTCCTGGGCAGGCGGGACAGGAGAACCCAGCATTTGCCTGTGTTTCCCCTGGTCTGAGGGTCTCTTCCCCTTTCAGAGGCAGCCCTGGGATCCCTCAGCTGAGTGTCTGGGTGAAGCCGCTCCAGCTCCTGGTTCCTGTGGGGAGACCTAGAGCAGAGCAGAGACAGGGACACAATGGATGCAATCCCACCAGTGCTATGATGGGGAGACAGGCCATTGTAGTGTCCAGCCCCCCAGGCCAGTAACTTTTCACCAAAGTCTCAAGAGACCCCTACTAGGTCATTCCTTGAAATCTCGAGGACAGAGAGCTCCTGCTGAGGGAGCACATCCGTCTGGGTGGACAATTCTCCTGACACAGGATCGGGAATCTTCTGGGCAGTGCCTGTCCTCTCCCTGGGCTCATGCTGCCCTGGGATGCAGTCAGGCAGTCTAGGACCCCCAGGGGCCAGGACCCAGGCTGACCAGTCGCTCACCTCTGCCCAGGACTCAGGGACCCACTCACATCCTTGGGAGCCTGATCAGCATCCCTGCTGCAGCCCCCAGAACTGCCTCCAGGGGGCGACATAGGGGCATGCAGGCACTAAACCCTGAAGGACCTTAAACCCTGAAGCTGGCTTTGGCTAAGGAGGTGGAGAAGGAGCCTGGTTTCCATCCCTTCTCTAACAGACCCTTCTGAATCCCTCCCACGTTCCAGTTCTGTCCGCTCTACCTGGAGCCCTAGGAGCTCCCTTATCTGTCAGGGGTCCCTGCACAGCTCCCCATTTCCTGTCCGGCACCACCCATGGGGGAGGTAGGGACACTACAGGAAAGTCCCCCAGGCAGAGGACACAGGCTGCTCAGGACTCTCAGGAGCACATCGACAGTCTCTGGGCCACAGTTCAGCCAACAGACCCTGAGGGAGGGTCTCCTCCAAACCTTCCTGGAGCCCCAGCCACCCGACCTCCCACCACCTCCTCTCTTCCCAGGACACAGGAAACCCCCTTCCCACCTGGGAACCAAGCTCCTGAGACACCTGGTCCTGGGTCTCTGTCCCTGGAAGCAGAGGCTGGGCTGGGGACAACCAGGGATGGGCTGTGGGTCCCTCACCAGTAATCACCCAGCCTGCCCTTTTCTCACCCCCAGGGTCATCTCTGGGGCCTTGCTGCCAGGAGTCAGTCCAACCTCCCCAGACCTGTGAAAACACCGGGGAGACAGATGCCCAGTTGGGCTTCTCTGTCACAAAGGAAATAATCCCCTGGATTTGGGGACCCTGGGGCTCTGTGTGTGGTGCCCACAGACTCAAGGCCAGGACACAGCAGAGGAGTAGGGAGAAGGGCCATCCTCTAAGGGAACCGGGTCCCCCTCAGTCTGGCTATTCAGAGTGTGCTCCCCTTGGGCAGGACGATCAGCATCACCTGGGAGCTTGTTAGAGGCAGACTCTGGGGTCCACACCACACCTGCTGAGTCAGAATCTGCATTTTCACAGCATCTGCAGACCCTCCGTGGGCACAGGAGAGGGAGAGGCGGCCCCACCCCCACATCATGGGGCTCAGTCTGGCTGGGCATCTGCGGAAGCAGCATTTCTAAGTGTCACCTGGGCATTCTCAGTCTTGATAAAGTTCCACAGGTGAATCCAGCGCACAGTGGGGGTGACATCCTTGTGACAAGGGTTCCTGAGGCAACCCCCAGGCTCCTGAAGGGAAAGCCACACGGGGAGGAGAGAAGGCTGTGGGGGCCTGACCGTGCACCCTGACCCCGAGCTGTGAGGGTCACCGGACGCCAACGCCACAGGCTTGTGTTTGTCCAAACAAGGGCGTGTGCGCGCTCTCGCATATGGTGGGAACCACAGCTGAAGACGGAGAGGCCTCAGCAGTTCCCGGGGAACTGAAATGTAGACAGAAATGAAAGGGGAGGAAGGGGACAAGGGAGTCAGGAGGGAGGGGAGAGGATGAGAGGAGAGAGGAGGGGAGGGGCGGGGAGGGGCGGGGCCCTGACAGAGACCCCGCCCCCGGCCCACGTGACCCCGCCCAGCGCTCCTGCCCCCAGAGGCCGCTCAGCTCAGAGGGAGGAAGGACGGCAGAGCTGACAGGACAGGACGGCTGTGCTCCTGAGCGTTTCTGGAGCAGAAGCTCTTCCCCAGAAGTAGGGACGCACCGGGCAGCAGGCACCATGGAGCCCCCGTCGGCCCCTCCCCGAGGACGACGCGTCCCCTGGCAGGAGGTCCTGCTGGCAGGTGAGAGGGATGATCCCCTGCGAGGGGGCGGGAGGATGGGAGAGAGAGGCTGGCTGGGGTCTTCCGGGGAGGACAGGGCTCTGAGAGGGGACAGGGGAGCAGGGCAGGACGGGGGAGCCGGCTCAGCAACGGGAAAGTCTCATGATCTGGAAGTGGGGAGCCAAGGGCTGTTTCCCAAGTTACTCATCACTGAGGACTGAATTCTGAAACTGATAACAACAACCAGGGACCCTAATCGCTGCCCCTTCCCACCAACCTGAGATCATGACAGACAAATGCCAGACTTGGAGGGCCCTGGGGCCACATTCATTCAGCCCCGGGTATTTGCAGCCTGCCCCACCCCTGGGGTACAGCACAGATCAGAGCAGTCCCTGCCCTCCCCAATCTCACTTCTATGCGGAGGAAAACAGACACACAGAGACGTCTAGAATGTGATGTCAGGTACTGACAAGCATCATGAAGGGAGCAGAGCAGGGAAAGGTCAGAACGTGAAGACAAAGGGTCTTTAGAGGAGGCATTCTGGGCAGACCTCTCCCCAGGACCCCCTGAGTGGGAGCAGGTATCTGAGGGCAGGGAGGGAGTGAGCGACAGACATGTGAGGAACAGTGTTCTAAACAGAGGAAATTAAGTTCAGAGGCGCTGAAGTAGTGTGGTCATGCCACTGACCTTGACCAGCAGGAGACACACACTCACACACACACCCCGAGGCTGGGGGCTTAGGACCTGCCCTCTCTCCAGAACCCCAGCTTTCCCTCCCAACACATAGGTCCAAACACTGATCTGTCTTCTCCCTTCCCTCCTAGTCTCACTCCTAACCTTCTGGAACCCGCCCACCACTGCCCAAGTTACTGTGGAATCGGTGCCGCCCAATGTTGCTGAAGGGAAGGATGTTCTTCTGCTCGTCCACAATCTGCCTGGGGATCCTATAGGCTATGGCTGGTTCCGAGGGGAAAGTATAGAGCCCAGCAGTCAAATTGGATCATATGCAGTAGACACAAATGTAACTACCCCAGGGCCTGCACACAGCGGCAAAGAGACAATATACCCCAATGGATCCCTGCTGTTCCAGAACATCACCCTGATCGACACAGGATACTACACCATACAAATCACAAAGAAAAATTTTCAAGTTGATCAAGGAACAGGACAGCTGCGCGTATTCCGTGAGTAATTCCTCTCTCACCTCTGGTGTTGGGTGGGGTGAATTCTACTTCACACAACAGGATTCACAGGCCTGGATTGTACCTCCATCCCCCTCTGCATTATGTCCCGTGTGGGGTTCGAGCATTTAGTGCAGGACACACACAGTGGAGACAAACTTCCTAAGATCAGAATTCCCTTCCTGGATTCCGGCTCCAGCAGACATTTGCTGCAAAGAGAAGGACCAGTCTGACAGGAGTAACTCAGCAGAGGGAGACAGATTCCGTCCAGCCCCTTCGGCTCCTCCCCGTGACCATGACTCTGAGAAAGACCCTTCAGGGCTCAGTCAGGGCCAGGCCTGAGGGATCCATGGGATCCTCACAGAGAAGCTCAGCCCAGAAAGCCCCTGCCCAGATCCCTGACTCAGGGCTCCTGACTCCAGTGACGCTGGGGAGTCTGTGCCAGATGTGGGTTTTGGCTTCCTGGCAGGGGGGACAGGGAGCAATGATTTCCTGGCTGCCTGAGTGGTGAGGTTCCTGAACTGGTCACCAGGCTCGGCACCAAGAGCCACATCTGGGGAGGGGCAGAGCCTGGTCCTTCACCTGAGACTTGAGGTGGAAAGCAGAGATAGGCAAGGTCCCTGGGCCACTGTCTGACTGCCCTGGGGGATAGGAGACCCCAGAGGAAGGTCAGCACCCCTAGGGAGGAACAGAGGAGAGTAGATGCTCCGGGCAGCAAGTCCTGCACCAGGATCAGGCCCAGGGAGCCGTCTCTCATGGAGGCAAGTGACAGTTTATCTGGGCAGCTCCTCTATACCAAGCCTTAGGTCAAGTAATTGTGAAAGATTTAAGGTTAATTACAGACAACACAGTAAGCCTGAGACCATTTACTTGATTTTATTGAGGGGAAACAGAGGCACAGGGCGACGCAGACATTGAATCAGAGTCACACAGGCAGAACACAATCCTACAAGGTCTGTCTGCAGGTACAGGCCTGTCTCCTCCACCCAGGGGGCCTTATCAGGCATCTATGGACCCTGAGACCAGCTGTTGGATCAGACCTTTCTTCTTAGGGATCCACAGCTCAAGGTAGATGTTCTGGTCTGGGAGGTGAGAGCAAATGGACAATTAACGTTTTTACTCAAGAACTAAATTCATCAATGACCAGAGTCAGTTGGGGAATGCCCAGGCCTCCCCTCAGGTGGCCAATCCACAGCTCCTGCATCGGACTTGGAATCACTTATTGTTTCCTGATGTGCTGATGGCATCCCACTGGAGTGTAAGGAAAAGGACTCTGCCCTCTCCTCCCGACTGCATACCCCTAACCGGCACAGGGCCCAACAACTCAATTGCTCTTTCATGAAGGAGGGAAGGAATGAATGAATGATTCCCAGTCTCTTCAGAGTCTGGTCCCTGGATGCAGAATTCTAGGAGGTTCTAGCCACACCTGTTCCCTGTCCCTCCAGGGGCTGAGACCCATGTTCTATCCCTCTGACCACCAGCCCCTCAGGCCACTGCCAGAGAGTCTCATGAGGACTGTGGTATTGCTCAGCCATGGGAGGATCCTGCCCCTGGGTCAACTGTGGGCTCTTAGTGCCCGGAGTCTTTGAAGTCACTTGTAACCCTCACTGCTCACAGCCTGGGACATTTCTGGCTCTCTTCTCCGTCCATGTCCCTCATCTTCCTCCTCCTCCTCCTTTCCAGCTGGGACTACCCCTGCTCTGCACAGCCTCCTTTACCCTTAAGCCTTGTCTGGATTCTTCTGCTAACACCTGTGGCCCGGCCCGCCCTCCCAGGCAACAGTGAAGGACCCAGAAATCCGAGCAGCATCCTCTGCTGGGCTCCATCAGGAGCCAGTTTCCCCAGGTCAACAGCAGAGCGAGCTTTCACGGTGCCCTCATCCAGGGCTCTTTCCCTCCGTGACGCCATCAAGTGGAACACACCACATGACAAGGACATGTGACCCCTTGATCTACTCTCTACAGGACTCCAGCAGGGAGTCAGAGGCAGAAGGGGCAGGTCTGCGGTCCCCAAAAGCTCATGGGCTCATCTCATGCCTTTTACTCCTGACTCACGTCCTCGTCCTGGTGAGGCTCTCGTTCTTCCAAGTGGTTCCCCGGACCCTCCCACGGTGGGGCTGGCCAGACCCTGCGCCTTCTGACTGGTTCACTGCTTATTTCACACACATACATGGGTGCTCTTGAGGACGCCTTTACCATAGGGTGGAACCCTCTCACATGGTGAGATCCACCAGTTCCTGTCCTTTCACTTAGATGCTGCCCAATTTGGGTAAATTGGATCAAACTTGTGTTTCCTGAGGTCAAAAGAAAGCCAAATACAAGCATTCGGTTTCTTTCCATTCTGACTATAGAAATTGGTGGCAGGGACTTTCTTTCCTAAATTTACTAACATAATGCATATCATTTCTACTAATTTGGTATCATTCCTCCCTTTATATAACAGAGGCAACTCAGACTTTCCCTGATCAATTCTGTTTCTTAACAGGATTCACTTGTCTTTCTCTACCCAGGGAGTCACTGATTTCAAACCCACTATAACGTCTTCCTTCATTCATCATGTGATCCTGGTTGGACTGTAGAACTTGGTCTACAACATATTGTGCTCCCTAGGGAGACATTCCTCCAGAAATGGGTCTTAGATTTTTCGGGTATTAATACTGAGTTTCATATGGAAACCATTTATTTTCTCATCTCAAATTTCTATCTCATAACTGTGTTTACAAATGGTCCATGAAGGCCAGGCACCCTCCCCCCACCCCTCCACTTCCCACCAGTCACCCCTTCTGCATTTGAAAACACCCACTTGTATTTCAGGAAAGAGCAGCATGGTTCTCATTGGCCTCTGCAGTGGGAAAAGAGACTTTAAAGACTGAGGGCAGAGCACATAGCTCTCTGCCAAAGCCAGCCAGGCCCTGCCTGTCCCCTCACTTTTTTCTGGATCATTTCTAGTTTTGACTCTGCTCCACCACTGTCTCAGGTCAGTCACCATGGAACACCTGGGCGGAACTGTCCTACTTCGTGGCCCTGCAGCCTGAGTGCTTGACTGACCTCCAGGCTTGCCCCTGGTGTCCCCTGGTATGACTTCTGCTCAAATACCCCCTTCCAGGCCATGCTGTCCAGTGTTCTCCAGGCTTATGAGCTCTGGGAAGGCCCATCATTGCCCATCTCCAGGACAACCCTGGAAACAAGGCCTCAAGGACAACACCTGTAGCTTGACTGGTGTTAGGTCTGTGTAGTAGAAAGGACCTCAGCACCTACACTTTCCAGGTGTGGCCTCTGAGGTTGGTCAGACAGTCAGTTGGTCAGGGAAGAACCAGGAGAGGCCCAGGGTGCTCTCTGACTTTGTCCTGTGTCTTCCACAACCAAACCCTGATGCTTTTTTGACCGAGAAGACTTGTGCTTGCTCTCAGACAGAGAGCAGGTGGCCTGTGTTCTCTGAGCACTCAGATCCTCTTGCATTTGTCTTGAGCTACACAGACCTGCCTTATTCTTTGAAGGACTTAGGTTGGCTGAGAGGTGAGAGATACCAACTCTGATTCGAGATGTCTGTGGAGGAATCACAGGTACCACCCAGGGCAATGTTCTTTCTGTTGTCTGCACAGCGCAGTTACCCAAACCCAACATCTCAAGCAACAACTCCGATCCAGTGGCGAATATGGATTCTGTTGTAATAATGTGTGAACCTCAGACTCAGAGCACAAGCTACCTGTGGTCAGTAAACAATGAGAGCCTCCCGGCCAGCACCAGGCTGCAGCTGTCCCTGGACAACAGGACTCTCACTATACACGGTGTCACAAGGAATGACACAGGACCCTATGAGTGTGAAACTCGGAACCCAGTGAGTGCTGGTCGTAGTGACCCATTCACCCTGAATGTTCTCTGTGAGTAACTTCCCCTCCTACCTGGCCTGGGCTGCCAGCCCAAATCCACATGCCGGGGGCCAGGCCACATCCATCCTTCTGGGGTCCGAGTCCATGACTCTCAGCTGGACCCCCAGGCTGGCCATGGCTTCTTGTCCCTGGCAAACCTGGGCAGCCCCAGCCTAATCCAAGACTAGGAGGGGACAGGCTGCTTCTCCCTGAGAGGGTCACCAGCCTCTGAGGGGAAACAGGTGAATGTCTCAGACCCAGGCTCAGTGAACACAGGGGGCTTTGGACTTTTTAAAATGAGGTTGGGACCCAGCCTAGTGGGACACTGTGGCCCTAATACAGACCAGGAGCTTCGGTTTCCCTCGGATTGCATCACCTGTGGCTTTATTCTGTTTGCTCCAGATGGCCCGGACGCCCCCACCATTTCCCCCTCAGACTCCTCTTACCATCCAGGGGCCAACCTCAGTCTCTCCTGCCACGCAGCCTCTAACCCGCCCGCACAGTATTCTTGGTTTATCAATGGGAGGCCCCAGCTATTCACACAGGAGCTCTTTATCCCCAACATCACTGCCAATGATAGTGGATCGTATACCTGCCTCGCCTATAACTCTGGCACTCGGCTCAATAAGACCACAGTCAAGACTATCACAGTCTCTGGTAAGTGGATCCCTGGAGCATCTGCACCGATGGCTGTGGTGAAGGTCTGTCTGGCTTTCAGCAAAGAGCCTAGAAGTAGTCATTTCCCATTTGCTCCTAAATCTGTCCCTGAACTCTCCCGTTACATGTCTGCAGAGGCTTCCTCCCTGATTTCTCATGGCAGACCTTGGGTCCAGTCTGGAATGTGGGGAGGGGAGTTCTCAGCTCCAGAAAGCCCCATGCTTTGCAAATAGGGAAGAATAAAGGGTCCTCAGGTTCAAATTGCTTTTTGTTGTTGAATTGCAGAAGTGCATTATATATTCTGGATATTAATCTCTTACCAGATAGGATTTGCAAATGTTTCCTTCCAATCCATGGATTGCCCTCACCTTTTTTTTTTTTTTTTTTAGTGAACTTTAGTTGACACACAACGTGACCTTAGTTTCAGGTGTACAACATAGTGATTGGACAGCTCTATATGTTATGCTCTACTCAACACAATGGAGGTCCCATCTGACCCCATGCAGCCCCATTAAAATACCATCGACTGTATTTCCTGTGCGGTACATTTCATCCCTATGTCCTGTTCATTCCAGACCTAGTGCTACCACTCTCCGGATTGTGTCTTTTGATGCGCAGAAGTTTTCTATTTTGATGCAATCCAATTCATCTGTTTTTTCTTTTGTTGTCTCTGCTTTGGGTGTCATATCTAAGAAATCATTGGGAAATCCAGTTTCCATAAGTTTTTGCATTACGTTTTCTTCTAAGGCTTTTATAGTTTTGACTCTTATGTTTAGATGTTTGGTCTATTTTGCATTAACATTTGTACACGATGTACAAAGGTGTACATGGTGGAAGGTGAGGTCCAACTTCATTCATTTGCATGGACATCCAGTGTTCCCAACACCATTTGTTGAATAGATTTTTTTCTCCATTGAAGGGTCACGACAACCTTCTTGAAAATCATTCAACCACATATGCCAGTGTTTGTTTCCGGGGTGCCTATCCTATTTCGTTGGTCTCTATGTCTGTCTTTATACCAGATCCCCATTATTATTGGTTAATGTAGCTTTGCAGTCAGGAAGTAGGAGTCCTCCAACTTTGTTCTTTTTCAAAATAAGTATTTGAGGCCCCTGAGATTCCATGTAAATGTTTGGAAATTCCTATTTCTGAAAAATATTTCCTTCAGAATTTGATAGGGAGGCACCTGGCTGGCTCAATTGGTGGAACATGTGACTCTTGACCTCAGGGTTGTAGGTTTGAGCCCCATGTTGGATGTAGAGATTACTTTAAAATAAAATCTTAAAAAAAATTGATAGGGATTACACTGAATCTGTGGATCTCTTTGGGTAGCTTTGTCATCTTACCAATATGAAGTTTCATCACCATGAACATGGGATGTCTTTCCATTTATTTGTGTCCTCTGTAATTTCTTTCACCAGTGTTTTATAGATTTCCATATACAGTCTGTTGACTTATTAATTAATTCCTAAGATTTTGTTCTCTTTTTTCCTAAGTATTTTATTCTTTTTAATGTTATTGTAAGTGGAACTGTTTTCTTAAACACAGTGATTTTTGTATCCTACAACTTTGTTGAATTCTTAATTAGCTCAACAGTTTGTGTGTGGGGAGGGGGATCATTAGGGTTTTGTACATAAAATGTCATGTCATCTGCAAAGAGACATAATTGTACTTACTCCTTTCCGATTTGATTGCATTCTCTGTTTTTTTTTCCTTTAATTATTTTTGCCTGGACTTCTGTACTGTGTTGAACACCGGTGTTGAAAGTGGCATGTTTATCTTCTATTTTCAGTATTTGACCATGGAGTGTGATGCTAGGTCTGGCTGTTGCATGTAAGGCCTTTATCATCTTCAGTGGTTTCCTTCTATTTGTAAGGGTGCCAATATTCTGTATACAGTAACCACCACTCGACAGAAGTTTTTCACCAGGAGAGTCAAGCCACAGATCTGGAAGTAAAAGTCTTCTTCAGAGTGAGAAGTCCTGTACATTAAAAACTCTTTGATTCCGGGACGCCTGGGTGGCTCAGTCGGTTAAGCGGCTGCCTTCAGCTCAGGTCATAATCCCAGGGTCCTGGGATCGAGCCCCGGGTTGGGTTCCCTGCTCTGCGGAGAGCCTGCTTCTCCCTCTCCCTCTGTCTGCCACTCTGCCTATTTGTGCTCTCTCTCTATCTCTGTTAAATAAATAAATAAAAATCTTTATTAAAAAAAAAACTCTTTGATTCCTAAGGTTGTGAAGACGGTGCAGGTGGCTTTTATCCCCTAGTAAATTGTAACTATGTGAATGCCTTCCCTACTTTACATGAAGCTGCTTTGGACACAGAGAAGGGCTGTGAGTCCTCCTCCCCCAATATACATGGAAAGGTATATAAGGAATGAGGCCTGATCTTTTAAAGTCACAAAAGGTCAAGAAAACAGTCACACAGAAGTCCATGGGAATAAAAAATTCCACCTGACGATGAGGATGCGGGACATGTGGCCTTGGAAGAGGTTCCTGGTGCTGATGCTACAGCGATGTCCAGGCAGAGCAGACACAGGACTGAGGGCCAGAAGGGAACTTGAGGGTCACAGGGGGAGGTACAGCTCTCTCCTTAAAGATCATCACCTGAACAAAGACACTCATCCTTCTACAGACAGCAGGGCCATCCTCTGGGGCACCTTTACAGAGCTCGCTGGGGCCCTCCGAATGGCTGGCATCTCAGAGGAGGGAGTGTGACCCAAGGCCCCAGGCCCATTCTCATTCCATTACCTCCTGTGTTTCCACACAGAGCCAGTGGCCCGGCCCTCTCTCCATGCCAGCAACACCACAGTCACAGGAAATAAGGACTCTGTGGTCCTCACCTGCTCCACAAATAACACTGGGGTCTCCATCCACTGGTTCTTCAATGGCCAGAGTCTAAAGCTCACAGAGAGGATGAAGCTGTCCCAGGACAACAGCACCCTCACCATAGACCCTGTCAGGAAGGAGGATGCCGGGAATTACCAGTGTGAGGTCTCCAACCCAGACAGTTCCAGCCAAAGTGACCCCATCAGGCTGGATGTGAACTGTGAGAGACCCTCGACCTCTCCCTCTTCTTCCCTGTATATTTTACTGGCAGGAGGTGTGAAATGGATGCAGGCCTGGAGGAGGTAGGAGCCACCTTCACCTTCAGAGCCTCTAGGGCAATGTGGATAAAATCCCTGGAATTAGACTAATCTTGTTAGCATCTTGGTTCTGATATGTACCAGCTATTGGACCTCGGGCAAGACGCTCTACCTCCTGAGCCTCAGTCTCCTCATCTGTAAAACTGGAAAGAACAGCTGGATCTTAGGGCTGTTGTGAGGGTTGTTTATATGAGTTCATGAGATGAAATCCTGAGACGGCATCATACACAGATTCAGGCTCAATCAAATTTAGCAGCTATTGTCCTTTTGATATTAATGTTTTTGTTACTAGCTATGTCTCGGGGATTTGGGATTAAGTGTTGTCTGATTACGTTCCAGCTCGGTGACCTTCACTGATTTACTGAAGCCCTTTACATACTCAGATGCTCATTTTGCACAGTGGGGATGACACCTGGCCCCCTCATTGACAGGGAAGCAGCAGATGAGATAAACATAAAGTATTTCCCATGTGCCTGGCACAGGGCCGACCTCAAAAGCAGTCAGCTAATGCTATTCTCTTTAATTAGTGTTGAGTGAACAGGTAAGGGCCTCCCTCTATGAGCATTGATAGAAATGGAAAGGAAGACCCAGGGGAAGAGGCATAATGTGAGAGGAAAATGAACAGGACCCTGGTACTGGGCCCGGGGTGGGGGGACAATGTGAAGAATGAAGCAAGTCCAGGGTTTCACCGTGAGGAACAGAAACGATGCAGCGGTCCAGGGGGTGGGGACATTGTGGTGAGAAAACATACACCACCCAGACCTCAGTGGCCTTTCCTTCCTCCCTAACCAGGCCCTTCCCCCACAGCCCCTCCTGGCTTCCCCAGCTTTGACTTGGGACTCACTCCCCTCCCTTTTTCTTCTTATTTCAGATGAAAGAAGCACCACAGGCCTCCCTGTGGGGTCCATCATTGGCATTGCAGTCGGGGTCCTGGTCGGACTGGCACTGGCGGCTGCCCTGGGTTGTCTCCTGTTCCACAAAAGGACTGGAAAGTACGATGGCATTTCCCAGAAGCTGATCCTGTCCCCCAGCTGACCCCTGGCCAGGAGGGGACCCCATCCTGACCTAGCATTCTGGGCTGGCTCTTCCAGGCCTCCCAACTGCCCCCTGGATTTTCCCTCTTATTCCATCTGGCTCCTTCCTCACCAGCTGCTGACCAGGGTGCTTCTTTCCAAGCTTCCTCGGTTTTAAATTAGGGACAACTAGGGAACAGCCCCTCAGGGTTGTCTGCATTCATTTGGCAAACCTACAGCTGTGCTCATAGGACTAAGTACTCAGTAAACAGCACCTCCCGTGGTTTATTTAAGTCCACACGCCCTGTGAGGGGGCGTTGCAGCCTCAGGATCTGAGGCTGGTCCTGGTCAGGGTCACGCAAAGGAGAGTGGAAGATCCTGACAGGCCAGGTGGGATCATCCTCCAAATGGCAGATGCGTGAACCACAGTCCCTGTTGTGTGAGAGCAGAAAACCTGGGTTCGGCCAGGTGGACGTCCTGGAATGTCCTTTATGCCTCTTGTCCAGGCAGATGGAGATAGAGGACGGGCTACTGTCACATTTCAGCATCTCCTGGCCTGAGGGGACGAGGGTCTGGCCACAGCAGGGGCACCACATTCAGGGATCCAGCATACCCGGGGCTCCCCAACTGTCCTGCACACCTAGCTGCAGGCTTGACCCTTCCACTCAGACAAACCCTCCTGTTTGATTCCTTTCCTGGGTCCTTGATCCCTTTTCAGGACACTTTCTCCTAGAAGCCCATCAGCCTGTGGGTCTTCCCCTGTGAGCCCAGGACAGAAGTGTTCCAAAGACCTTTCCTAATCCCCTCTCCTGGGCCCGTCCTCTGCTGAACAGCACTGGTGGAGAGAGGGGGTCTCTAACTCCTGCCTGGAATGAGGATCCTGCTTGTCCCCTGCTCTGACACCAAAGCTGTGACGTCTCCCTGCACCCCTCACATGTAAGCCTGATCTTCCCTAGGGCCAGTGGCTGGTGTGATCTCAGAGAGCTCTGTCGCCCAGCATCCACTCCCCGTGAGTATATCTTCAGCGCGGGTGGGACCTGGAGCCCCGAAGTCCTGCCCCAGTGTCCACTCCTGCCAGTCACTCCCCAGGGCCTCTGACCCTTTTTCTGTGGCTTCAGCTCGGGGGACCTCAACTGGCCATAGTCCCTGACTTGTAGAATCTAGATCATAGGTCAGCACCTTGACCTCACGGGCCCTAACATGGCCAGTGGGTCTGTCCCTGGGAGGTGCTCCTGCTTCCCTGTTCTCTGAGAGCTGAGGACCTGTCCCCTCCTGGAGGGTGGCCCCAAGCTTCTTCACAGCCCTGGTGCTAACTCCTGTCTCTGTCCCCAGGCCATGGTCCAGCCTGCAGATCTGCATCCCCGGTAAGCCCGCCCCCTCCGCCACTCTTTCCCCTGGGGTCCAGCATGTGCAGGCTCAAGGTGGGCAACCAGCCAATTCAGCAGCACAGAGCAGACCTTGCTTCCCCCAGAGTAGCCAGGACAAGGCAAGCCCTGTTCTGGCCAGGAGTGGACCCTCTTCAGGGGCAGGACCACCCCCCAGCATGTCCTGGGTTGTCCCTGCTCCCCTGAACTGGCCAAAGGAGAACCCTGGAGTCCAGCCAGGGGCAGGGTGGGCACTGGGAGCACCAGCCAGGGGTCCTGAGCTAACAGAAATGGGGCAGGGGGTGCAGTGGGCAGTGGTCAGGGACTGGAGTATGGGCCAGCAGGCTTGGAGAAGGCATTTCAAGAGGCAGAACCAGTCACTCCCGTAGAGGAATGACCCTCCCTCTCTGACTACCAACACCCATTCTCTCCTGTTTAGGACTCCCTGCCCGGCCCCACCACAGCCGTTCCCATCTACCAGGTGAGTGTGAGCAATGACTGCTCTGGTCCCCGATGCCCAAGGGGGCCGAAGATCTGCGCCCATCCTGCCCCTGGCTGTGTTTTCAGGTTCAGGAAGCAAGAGAACAAGGGGGACAGGGCATTGTGGGAGGAAGGAGGGGCCCGGGGCAGACACCTGCCACACAGTCAGGCTCCCAGAGAGCAGCCCAGGTGGGCCTAGAACCTGAAAGTCACCCAGATATGTTCTAAGAAGGTGACAGGGTCTCAGAGGCCTCTTCTGCTTTTACAGGAATTACGACACCCCGACACAAACATTTACTGCCAGATCAACCACAAAGCAGAAATGGCTTCTTAGTTTCCCCTGGGAACTGCTCCTTCCAGGGCCCTCCTGAGACCCCAGACTCTAGGTGGGGTCAGGAGCTGCAGCCTGAGCCAGAGAACCGGCTCTAAGCCCTGAAGATATTCAGGGACATGGACCCAGGGATGGGTCCCTCCTGATTTCTGGAGACCCCTACCGGCTGCCCTGAACCCAGGACAAAGGCCCCCATTTCCCAGGAAGTGGGGATTCTCGGGAAAAGTGTCCTGACCCCTGACCCACTGGCGATGATCGAAGAGGATCTGAATAAAGAGGATTCATCCCCTCCTTGGCCCTTTTTTTGGTGAATGGTAATTTCTCTTAGCAGAAATTTCCCCAGGGGCACCTGGCTGGCTCAGTCAGTAGAGCATGCAACTCTTTTTTTGTTTGTTTTTTAAGGTTTTATTTATTTACTTGAGAGAGAGAGAGAAGGATCACGAGCAGGGGAGAGGGGCAAAGGGAGAGGGAAAAGCAGACTCTCCACTGAGCAGGAAGCTGGACGTAGGACTCCATCCATGGACCCCAGGACCATGTCCTGAGCCGAAGTCAGACACTTAACCAACTGAGCCACCCAGGCACCCCGAGCATGCAACTCTCGATCTTGGGGTCATGAATTTGAACCCCATGTGTGGCACAGAGTTTACTTAAAAAGAAAAAAAGTAAAAAAAAGAGAAAAGAAATTCACCTGAAACTCTGGGTCTCTTCTCTCCTGGGTCACATAGGGAAATGTTACCTCTGAGTTGACCAAGCCCCCATCTCTTGTTCCCCAGGATAGAGGAAGAGGTGAGTGGTGTGGACGTGGTGGGACCACGCTAACTAGAACACCAGAGCTGTGGCCAAACCATGAGAGAACTCAGCAGTCCTCACACTGCTCAGGGACCAAAGCTTTAGACACTCCCAGTGTTTATAAATGTGGTTTGGGTGTCGGGAGCACAGAACATGGGGCCTCTGATGACCACATGAAGATGAGCTAGGAAGGAGTTGCTGTGGGCAGCAAACATAAACCACAGAGAAGGATGAACTGGGCATCTTTTCCCTTGGCTATTCTTTAATAGTAGGTCAGCTGGCAACAAATTTTCATATTCTTCCTTCTTCAGAAAATTTCCTTATTTCCCCTTTCCTCCTGAGGATCATTTTGCCAGATACAGGATTTGTAGTCGATTTGAAAAACCTGCCGCTTCCTTCTGGCCTCCATGCTGTCAGATACAAAACCTACTGTCACTTACTTAAATCAATGTTCCTTAATAAGCAATGGGTTGTTTCTCTGGCTCTTTTTATTTATTTTTAAAGATTTTATTTATTTAATTGAGAGAGACAGAGTGAAAGAGAGAGAGAAAAAGACAGGGGGAATGGCAGAGGGAGAAGCAGCCTCCCTGCTGAGCAGGGAGCCCAACGCAGGGCTTGATCCCAGGACCCTGGGATCATGACCTGAGCCGAAGGCAGACGCTTAACGACTGAGCCATCCAGGCACCCCTCTCTGGCTCTTTTTCAAGATTTTTTTCCTCTTGTCTTTAGTTTTCACAAGTTTGCCATGTGCCTTAGTGTGAGTGCTTATAGTGTTCGGCGTTCACTCAGCTTCTTGGACCATTATTTCTTCAGACACTTTTTTCAGTCCATATTTTTTTCCAACTTCTGGTATCCAGTGGCACCAATGTTAGATCCTTTCTTTCTTTTTTTTTTTTTAAGATTTTTTTATTTATTTGAGAGAGAGAAACAGAGTATGCTCATGAGCAGGGGAAGGAGCAGAGGGAGAGGGAGGGAGAGAATCCTCAAGCAGTCTCCCCGCTGAGTGCCAAGAGACCACAAGTCAAGGAGTACTGGCAGACTCCAGAAACTGGAGAAGGCAAGAAAATTGATCCACCCCCAGAACCTCCAGAAAGGAATGTGGCCCCGCCAATATCTTTATTTTAGCCCAGTAAAACCCATGTTGGACTTCTGACCTCCAGAAATGTAAGGTAATAAATGTCTGTTGCTTTTAAGCCACCGTCTTTTTGGTAATTTGTTACAGCAGTAATAGGAATCTAATATAGACTGCATATTAGATTATACTGTTGTATGAATATCAAATTGGGGGAGCTTGATCATCGTACTGTGGGTATATAGGAGAAAATCTCGGTTCTGGTGAGATACGGGCTCAAGTAGTTAGGGTGAAGTATTAGGATACCTAAAACTTCCAAGTGATACATCAAAAAATCATATAAATATATATGTGTATATATATATACACATATATATATAATGAAAAAGATTTGTGTGCATGCACATGCATAGATCTACATCTATGCAGCTAGAATACAAATGTGACATTGGTAAATAAGCATGAAAGGTATATGGGAGTTCCCTCTAATAGTCTTGCAACTTTTCTCTAAGTTTGACTTTTTTTTTATTGGGGGGTGGGGCCTTATGTTTTAGAAGTACACACAAAAGTGTTTAGAAACAATAGTATATGATTTCTAATATTTAATCCGGTCGCAGGAGGAGTAGAAGGGAGATAGATATAACAAGGTTCATCATGAGTTGATACTTTGAGCTGGAATTGGGTACTTGAGGGTTCACAATACCACTCTCCCTAGTATAACGAACTAGAATCCACTTGTCCATGTTTGTATACAAACTCTGTTTGTATAGTTTAAAATTTTCCATATGAAAAGATTTCAAGGAAAGAGAAAAAAATTTCCAGCTCAGAAGTTTTATCAGTGAGTTGCACAGAACTTTCAACACAGATCATCTCAAAATTATACAAATTCATCCACAGAACAGCGAGAGACTATGCCCCCAACTGACTCTGGGGTTAGTATAACCTTTAAACTGAAATAGGAACAACAACAAAAGTACAAAAAGAGGAAAATATCAGGCCAATCATACTCATGAACAGAGAGACAAAGATGTTAATCACGATATTCTCAAACCAATTCCAACAGTATATACAATAAGATAGTACACTGTGACTCAATTCCATTGTCCCAGGAAAGCAAAGGTTCAATACTAGACATTTATAAATGGGCGGGGCATCTGTGTGGCTTGGTCGTTTAAGTGGCTGGCTCTTTTTTTTTTCTTTATTTTTAAAGATTTATTTATTTGAGAGAGCGAGAATGAGAGAGAGAGAGTACACGACAGGGGGAGGGCTAGAGGGAGAAGCAAACTCCTCGCTGAGCAGGGACCCCAATGCGGGACTCGATCCAGGGACTCCAGGATCATGACCCTAGCCGAAGGCAGTCGCCCAATCAACTGAGCCACCAGGCGCCCCGCGGCTGGCTTTTGATTTTGGCTCAGGTCATGATATCAGGGTCCTGGGATTGATCCCCGTGTCGGGCTCCGTGCTCAGAGCACAGTCGGCTTGAGGATTTCTCTCCCTTTTTCCCTGCCCCTCCTCCTCCTCAAATAAATAAATTAATTTTTTTTAAAAAATTTATAAATGGAAGAGGGTAAGAATTTCTAGAGTACCATAATGTTCTGTTTCCTGATCTAGCTGCTAGATACATGGGTGTGTTCAATATTTGAAAATTCAGTAAGCAAAACACTTCATTGTGTAACAGTCCTCCTATCCCCTCAACTTTGTTCATGATATAGACTCTTTGAAAAGACCAGACCAGACATTTTGTCTTGTAGAATGCCCACATTCTGATTTTGTTTCCTTATGGTGTCATTTCACTTGCTTCTCTAAACCCTGTATTTCCTATAAATTGGAAAATGAATCTCAAAGCTGAATTAGATTCAGGTTATATTTTTTTGGCAAGAATGCTTCCTGGGTTTCATATTGCATCATATTAGGAGGGACATCCTAGCTACTTGTCTAGACCTTATGCCAATATAACTATTTTCATGACATAAAAATTGATCAGCGGGCATTTTTTTAGGTTTTTCTTTACATTCCAGTTAGTTGGGGTGCCTGGGTGGCTCAGGCGGTTGGGTCCTGATCGCAGGGTCGTGGGATTAAGTCCCGTGTAGGGCTCTGTGCTCAGTGGGGAGTCTGCTGGAGATCCTCTCCCTCTGCCCCTCCCCGCTCGCTCTCTCTCAAAAAAACAAAACAAAACAAATAAGTCTTTAAAATTTAAGAAATAAAATAAATTCCAGGTCGTTAACATGCAGTGTAGTATTAGTTTTAGGTGTACAATATACTCATTCGACTCTTCCATACAACACCTGGTGCTCATCACAACCAGTGCCCTCCTTAATCCCCATCTCCTTTTTCACTCATTCCCCCACTCGCCTCCCCTCTGGCAACCATCAGCTTGTTCTCATAGTTGAGTCTGTTTCTTGGTTTGCCTCTCTTTCTCTCTCTTTTCCCCCTATTCTAATTTGGTGTGTTTCTTAAATTCCACATGCCTGAAATCATAGGGTATTTCTCTTTCCCTGACTGATGTAGTTCACTTAGCATAACACACTCTAGCTCCACCCACATTGTTGCAAATGAAAAGGTTTCATTCTTTTTTTCTGGCTGAGAAATATTCCATTGTATACATACATCACATCATCTTTATCCATTTATCAACTGATGGACATTTGAGCTGTTTCCATAGTTTGGCTATTGTAAATAATGTTGCTATAAACATCGGGGTGTGTGTATCCCTTTGTATTAGGGATTTTTGTGTCCTTTGGGTAAATACCTAGGAGAGCACTTCCTGGATCACTGGGTAGTTTTAGTCTTAACTTTTTGAGGAACCTTTCTACCCTGTTCCAGAGTGGCTGCCCCGGTTTACATTCCCACCAACATGCAGGAGTGCTCTCCTTTCTAATCAGTGGGCATTTTTTTGTGCAAAGACAAATGTGTATACAGAATTTACAGGATTAGAAAACTATCTACCATGCTGGTCCTCAACAGAAGGAAAGCTGTCTATGGCAAGCCCACAGCTAACGTCATACTCAGTGGTGAAAGGCTGAAAGCTTCTCTATTAGAATCAGAAACATGACAAGGGTGCTCATCCTCACCACTTCTATTCAGCATAGTACTGAGAGTCTTAGAGCAATTACGCAAGAAAAAGAAATAAAAGGCATTCATGCCAGAAAAGAAGTAAAATTCTCCTTGTTTGTAAATCACATGATCTTATATAAAGAAACTCCAAAGGCTCCATGAAAAACTGTCAGAACTAATAAATTCAACGAAGCTGGAGGATGCGGGGCACCCGGGTGGCTCAGTTGGTTAAGCGTCTGCCTTCAGCTCAGGTCATGATCCCGGGGTCCTGGGATCAAGCCCCGCATCGGGCTCCCTACTTGGCGGGGAGCCTGCTCTCCCTCTCGCTCTACTGTTCCCCCTGCTTGTGTTCTCTCTCTCTCCGTCAAATAAATAAATAAAATCTTAAAAAAAAAAAAAAAAGGAAGCTGGAGGATGCAAAATCAATCTACAGAAATCAGTGCATTTCTATCCACTAACAAAGAACCTATGGCAAACTACCTGGAAAACAAATAAAAGGTTCCCATTTCCCATGGCATCAGAAAGAATGAAATGCTTTGCCCTGGCGGGGCCTTGAGGGGTGGAAGCAGGCACCGGGGAGGCAGGGAGTAGTCCAGTCTGTAGGGTCAGAGGCAAGGGAGCTCTGCTCTATGGGCACCAAAGATGCTGCTTGGGAGGCAAGCCCCAGCCCCCACAGACTATGGGTCAAGGAATAAGCAGAGTCCACTCAACCAGAAGAGAAGCAAAGATAAAGCACGATGGCTTCAGTGTCTAATGGGAAGCAAGACCAAGGTCCCCATTTGCCACCACCAAGAAAGCAGAGCCTGTAGTTGTGGAGTACTGCCCAAAGATGCACTTGCTGGTATCTTGGCGTTCGGCTTTGCAAATGCCATACCTAGGAGAATGCCAGAGTAAATTCCATTGCTTGGAAGATCTGCTCTTTTTTGGCCCAGGAAATAGCAGGAATGGCTACTTATGTGTGAAGAATGCAAAATAAAGGATGCATTGAATGAAAAGGGACATTCACAGCCTTCACCTTCCTAAACTCTGTATCTATTAAAGTTTCCTACACCTCTGAATTTGTACACATTTAAAATTTCAAGTGTTGGGGCGCCTGGGTGGCTCAGTTGTTAAGTGTCTGCCTTCGGCTCAGGTCATGATCCCAGTGTCCTGGGATTGAGCCCACATCGGGCTCCCTGATCAGCGGGAAGCCTGCTTCTCCCTCTCCCACTCCCCCTGCTTGTGTTCCCTCTCTTGTTGTGTCTCTGTCAAATAAATAAGTAAAATCTTAAAAAAAAACTTTAAAATTTCTAGTGTACTTTAAAGTAGTATACGTAGAGTGGGACCGAAACATTGTGATACTGTCACTCTGCTGGGATGCTTCCTGTGGAAGATTCTCAATGAAACTGAACAGCAAATGTTTCCTGCTGTTTAAGAAACTATTGAGAGCTCTCCACATGGAAAAAAAATTATGTTGCAACTAGCTTGTTTACAGCTAAGTAAAAGAATTCAAAGAATTCTCTGGAAAAAAAAAAGAGAAAAAAGAATAAAATAATTTGGACTTACTGTAACCCAGGAGGGGAAAGATCTGTAGACTGAAAACTATGAGACATTGATGAAAGAAACAGAAGCACACGCAAATCAATGAAAAGATATCCCCTGTCCATGGGTTGGAAGAATTAATACTGTTAAAATATACATACTACTCAACATGACCTACAGATGCAATGCAATGCCATCAAAATTCCAATGGCATTTTTCAGAGAAAGAGAAAAAAACAATTCTAAAATTTGGATGGAACCACAAAATATGCCAATAGCCAAAGAAATCTTGGGCAAGAAGAACGAAGCTGGAATCACTTGGGCAAGAATCACTCTTCCTGATTTCAAACTACATTTCAAAACCGCAGTAATGAAAGCAGTATGGCATTGTGACAGCCCTCCACCAGGTTTAAGGATTCATCCCTTGCTTGCTGACTTACATCCCATGATCTGTAGCAGAACTAACCTACTTTTGGGATTTGCAGACCACTGGCCTCAAGGAGTGAAGGACCAAACTTTCCCAGGAGATAAGGCCTGCCTACATTGGAAAATAGCTGCCCTGGGTGCCAGCAAGTCTGTTCAGGGTTGTGTCCATATACGACTAACCGCCTGGGCACCTGCTTCTCCTGCATGCAGCCACCCTCCCTTTTCTCATGCCTTCCCCTTTAAAGCACCCTCCACTCCCAAACCCTCTGGACAGGAAACATGGTCTTTGAAACATGAGTCCACCATCTTCCCAGCATACTGGCTTCCTGAATAAAGCAACCTTTCCTGACCTAAATGTGAGATGGGAATCCATCAAAATCCTTGAGGAGAACACAGGTAGCAACCTCTTCGACCTCAGCCGCAGCAACTTCTTCCTAGACACATCACCGAAGGCAAGGGAAGCAAGGGCAAAAATGAACTATTGGGACTCCATCAAGATAAAAAGCTTTTGCACAGCAAAGGAAACCGTCAACATAACCAAAAGACAACTGACAGAATGGGAGAAGATATTTGCAAGTGACTTATCAGAGAAAGGGCTAGTATCCAAAATCTATAAAGAACTTATCAAACTCAACACCCAAAGAACAAATAATCCAGTCAAGAAATGGGCCGAAGGGGGCGCCTGGGTGGCTCAGTCGTTAAGCATCTGCCTTCAGCTCAGATCATGATCCCAGGGTCCTGGGATCGAGCCCCACATCGGGCTTCCTGCTCAGTGGGAAGCCTGCTTCTCCCTCTCCCACTCCCCTTGCTTGTGTTCCCTCTCTCACTGTGTCTCTCTCTGTCAAATAAATAAATAAAATCTTAAAAAAAAAAAATGGGCCGAACATGAGCAGACATTTTCTGCAAAGACATACAAATGGCCAAAAGACACATGAAAAAGTGTTCAACATGACTCAGCATCAGGGAAATCCAAATCAAAACCTCAATGAGATACCACCTCACACCAGTCAGAATGGCTAAAATTAACAAGTCAGGAAACGACAGATGTTGGCGGGGATGCGGAGAAAGGGGAACCCTCCTACACTGTTGGTGGGAATGCAAGCTGGTGCAGCCACTCTGGAAAACAGTATGGAGGTTCCTCAAAAAGTTGAAAATAGAGCTACCATATGATCCAGCAATTGCACTACTGGGTATTTACCCCAAAGATACAAAAGTAGGGATCCGAAGGGCTATGTGTACCCCAATGTTTATATTTATAGCAGCAATGTCCACAATAGCCAAACTATGGAAAGAACCAAGATGTCCGTCAACAGATGAATGGATAAAGAAGATGTGGTATTTATATATACAATGGAATATTATGCAGCCATCAAAAAAAGAACTCTTGCCACTTGCAATGATATGCATGGAACTAGAGGGTATTATGCTAAGCGATATAAGTCAATCAGAGAAAGACAAGTATCATATGATCTCACTGATATGAGGAATTTGAGAAACAAGACAGAGGATCATAGGGGAAGGGAGGAAAAAATGAAACAAGATGAAACCAGAGAGGGAGAAAAACCGTAAGAGACTCTTAATCTCAGGAAACAAACAGGGTTGCTGGAGTGGAGAGGGGGGTGGGAGAGATGGGGTGGCTGGGTGATGGACATTGGGGAGGGTATGTGTTATGGTGAGCATTGTGTATTGTGTAAGATTGATGAATCACAGACCTGTACCCCTGAAACAAATAAAAATGTTAAAAAAAAAAAAAAAGAAGAAGAAGAAGATAGTAGGAAGGGAAAAATGAAGGGGGGGAAATTGGAGGGGGAGACAAACCATGAGAGACTATGGACTCTGAGAAACAGACTGAGGGTTTTAGAGGGGAGGGAGGTGGGGGATGTGTTAGCCTGGTGATGGGTATTAAGGAGGGCACATATTGCATGGAGCACTGGATGTTATAGGCGAACAATGAATCATGGAACACTACATCAAAAACTAATGATGTAATGTATGGTGACTAACATAACATAATAAAATAAAATTATTAAAAAAAAAAGCAACCTTTCCTTAACTTGTCTCTCAAGTGTTGATTTTTGAGGCATGAGCAGCCTAACCTGAGTTCGGAACCGCTTCTCTGTCAGGTAACAGTATTTTTCTTTTTTAAAGATTTTTTTCATTTATTTGACAAAGAGAGACACAGTGAGAGAGGGAACACAAGCAGGAGTAGTGGGAGAGGGAGAAGCAGGCTTCCCGCTGAGCAGGGAGCCCGATGCGGGGCTCGATCCCAGGACCCTGGGATCATGACCTGAGCCGAAGGCAGACGCTTAACGACTGAGCCACCCAGGTTCCCCATCAGGTAACAGTATTGACAGAAATACAGAACAATGGAACAGAACAGAGAGCCCTGAACTAAATCCGTGCATTTATGTAGGGTCAGCGGATCTTTGACAAGGGTGTCAAGAATCACAGCGGGAAAGGACAGTCTCTTCAACAAACGATGTTGGGAAAACTGGATATCCACAGAGCAAAAGAATGAAATGACACACTTACTTTACACATACACACAAATCAACTCAAAATAGATGTACAACTTAAATATAAAACCCAAACCATAAAACTCCCAAAAGAAACGTAGGGGAAAAGCTTGATGACATTGGTCTTGGCAATGACTTCCTGCATATGATACCAAAAAGCACATACAATGGAAACGAAGATCAACAAGTGGGACTATATCAAACTAAGAAGCATCTGCACAGCAAAGGAAACCATCAACACAGTGAAAAAGCAACCTACCAACTGGGAGAGACTATTTTCAAACCATGTATCAGATAAGGGGTTAATATCCAACATATGTAAGGAACGCCTACAACCGGATAGTAAAACACAAATAACCTGATTTTAAATAGGCTAAAGACTTGAGTAGAGGGTCGCCTGGGTGGCTCAGTTGTTGGGCATCTGCCTTCGGCTTGGGTCATGGTCCGGGGATCCTGGAATAGAGCCCCTCTTCGGGCTCCCTGCTCAGTGGGAAGCCTGCTTCTCCCCCTCCCACTCCCCCTGCTTGTGTTCCCTCTCTCACTGTGTCTCTCTCTGTCCAATAAATAAAGAAAATCTTTTAAAAACCCCAAAAACTTAGGTAGATATTTCTTCTATGGCCAACGGGCATATGAGAAAAGGGAAATGCAAATCAAAACTGCAGTGAGGGGCGCCTGGGTGGCTCAGTCGTTAAGCATCTGCCTTCAGCTCAGGTCATGATCCCAGGGTCCTGGGATCGAGCCCCGCATCGGGCTCCCTGCTCGGCGGGAAGCCTGCTTCTCCCTCTCCCACTCCCCCTGCTTGTGTTCCCTCTCTCTTGTTCTCTCTCTCTGTCAAATAAATAAAATAAAATCTTTAAAAAAAAAAACTGCAGTGAGATATTATCACACACCTGTTGGAATGGCTATCATAAAAAAAAAAAAGAAAAGAAAAGAAAAGAAAAAAAAGACTGGGCACCTGGGTGGCTTAGTTAGTTAAACATCCGCCTTCAGCTCAGGTCACGATCCCAGGATCCTGGGATCGAGCTCCATGCTGGGCTCCAGGGAGCCTGCAACTCCTTCTCCCTGTGTCATTCCCCCCGCTTGTGCTCTTTGGCTCTATCTCTCTGTCAAATAAATAAATAAAAATCTTTAATTAAAAAACACGACAAGTGTTGGTGAGGGTGTTGAGAAATTGGAACCCTTGCACCCCATTGCAGAGAATGCAAACTGGCCCGGCCACTCTGAAAACAGTATGGAGGTTCCTCAAAAAATTAAACATACAACTACACTAAGATCCAGCAATCCCACTTCCGGGCATTTCTCCAGAAGAACTGAAATCAAGATCTCGAGGAGATATTAGCACACCTGTGTTCATTGCAACACTATTCACAGTAGCTGAGATATGGAAACAACCTAAATGTCCACTGAAAGACAAATGGTTGAGGAAAATTTGCACATACATATAATGGAACACTATTAAGAGGACAGATTTCGGGGCGCCTGGGTGGCTCAGTTGGTTAAGCGACTGCCTTCAGCTCAGGTCATGATCCTGGAGTCCCTGAATCGAGTCCCACATCGGGCTCTGCTTCTCCCTGTGACCCTCCCCCCTCTCATGTGCTCTCTCTCTCTCAGTCTCTCTGTCTCAAATAAATAAATAAAATCTTTAAAAAAAAAAAGAGGACAGATTTCATATGCAGTGTTAATAAAGTAAAAAAAGATAAAAGAAAATGAAAAATGTTATCACAGTCAAAACCAAAACAAACACCACACTGAGATGCCACTTCACATACAGTAGACTGGCTGAAATATTAAAAAGACTTTGCAAACTAAGTGTTGTTGAGGATGGGGGGGAACTGGGAACTCTCATACATCGCTAGTGAGAAAGTACAATTAAAAGTACTTTGGAAAACAGTGTAGCCTGTTTTTCAAAAAATTAAATGTGTGCCTCCTTAGTGATCCCCTCACTGCACTCCTGAGTGGAACTCTACCCAAGAGAAATGAAAGCACATGCCCGCTTATAAGACTCCTGCCCAAAAGTTCCTGGCAGGTGTACTTGTAATCGCCCAGAGTTGGAAACAACATAAATGTCCATAAATGAGCGAATGAATAAAAAAAACTTTCTGCATCCTTCCAATGTAACAAACTAAGGGATAAAAAAGAAAAAAACACTTTGGGGGCGCCTGGGTGGCTCAGTTGTTAAGTGCCTGCCCTGTCCCAGGGTCCTGGGACCAAGCCCCGCATCCGGCTCCCCGCTCAGCGGGAAGCCTGCTTCTCCCTTTCCCACTTCCCCTGCTTGTGTTCCCTCTTTCGCTATCTCTCTTGGTCTCTTAAATAAATAAAATCTTAAAAAAAAAAAAAGAAAGAAGAAAAACTGTGGATACTTGCAATAACATGGAGCAATGGGTTAATTAAGAAAAATGACGCTGAGTAAAGAAGTCAACCTCAGCCCCAAGTTGTATCGTATGATTCCACTTCTCAAAATTCTAAAAAATGCACACTAATCTATAACAACAAAACAAATATAAGGTTTCATGGGAACATGGGGAAGGAGGATCAGAGGGGTGGGAATGAAGAGAATAAAGAGAACATGAGATTTTTGAGAGGAAGGGACATATATCTTCACCTAGGAATGACATCTCTGCATGCCCGTAGCAAAACTTATTAAATTGTATACTTTCAATATGTTGAATTACTTATATGTCAACTATAATTCAATAAAGTGGTTAAAAATTATACATCCATATATGAAATATTATTTCAAGTACAAATTTTAAAATTTAAAAAATATACAACTGGATAGAGGGACTTTTTCTTCCGCATTTCTTCCTGCACAGTCCACCAGAGGGCGGCAGAGCTGCTCTACACCTGGGCGCCTTCCTCAGCACCCACAGCCCAGCAGGGTCTGACCCTCCGCAGCCTCACCCAGTCACCGTCCTCCTGGCTCTCCAGGCTCCCCACACTGGACCCCGTCAGCCCCTCCAGCCAGCCAGGCATCTGCCCGCTGAGACTGGTCCCTCTATGGGCAGCTAGTCCCTCCACACCCTCTGCCCTTAGAGGGGCGAAGGTCCACTCACACTTCCGGTCTCAGCCTCAGGTCACTTTCTCAGGAGTGCTCCATGGGACCCCCCATCAGCTAAGACCCCCTCACATGCTCCAGACCCACCAGGCACTTTCCCTTCCTGGCCCTTCTCTTGATTCTAATTGACTCCTCGTGCCATGATTTCCTGACTGCCCGTGGCCCTGTTCCAAGGGAAACCCCACGAGTCCAGGGCCCACACTGTCCTGTTCTCTGTGGAGCTCCCAGGACCCAGCCCAGGGGCTGACACGTCACAGAAGCGCTGTAAATAGTCCTTGAAAGCATGAGGGAAACCGCACAATGGAAGTCAACCCCGTTCACCTGGGGTCGGAGCCTCTTCCCCGCAGACCCAGCCCGCTGGCATCAGCTGGGGGGTGGGGGGTAGGGGGGGCAGCACGTGCCCGAGGCTGTCCCTGTAAAGCTGGCAGGGCTTTCCCCCTCCTAGATTCAGGAGGGACGACAGGGGCCTCCTACAGTTAGAGGTCAGACCCCCATTCATTCCCAGAACACGGACACGCCCCTCCCATTTCTGTCTGTGACTGACTTCTCTCCCCAGAGGGCCTGGGTGTGCAGCCTGTGTCCTTCCTCTTCTCTCAGAGATCTGACCTGCCACAAATTCTGGATCACCACCCCAGGTGCAGTTACTACCAGGGGAGTTCAGAGCCCTACACTGACCTCCAAACACGTCCAGAGGCAAGTCCTCATCCTGAGGGCCCCTGGTCTGTGGGGACACCTGCTAGGTCTCCCTGAAAATTTCTCAGTAGCCCAAGGAATCCTGGGGAACGAGGGGAATGTCCCGGGTATGCAGGACAGAAGAACCCAGGATGTGCCTGTGTTTCCCCGGGACTGAGGGTCTCCTCCCCTTTCACAGAGGCAGCCCTGGGATCCCTCAGCTGACTCTCCGGGTGGAGCCGCCCCAGCTCTGATTCCTGTGCAGAGCAGAGACAGGGACACAGATGACTTGGAAGGAATCTCCCCAGTGCTGTGATGGGGAGACAGAGCATGGTGGTGTTCAGCCGCCC